AGTGCTGTTGTCCTGTCAGAAGGGCCCCTGACACTGGTGTAGTGGAGGACACTAGCCATGTTCAAACAGTGCCCTGTCATGACCTGGGAACCTGCCTGACCCAACACAGACACCTTGATGAGGAGAGCAGGAAGATTTACTTCCACTTGTATGGTGCAGTCTGGCCTCAGTCTAGATCTTGGACACATTTAACAAATACAGACCAAGTCTAGGACCTGGAAAGATACAGGCACTTTAGAGTCTGAGTCAGCCCAACCAGGATCTGAATCACTCCTGAAGATATCTGTCTGTCTCTCTGCAGTGGAAGACTTGGGTGTTATCTTCTTCAGTAGCTGCCTCAGCTGTAGGTGTACAGCCAGGGCAGAGGAATGTGGGCAAGCCAAGATGTATTGGATTAGACCTGAGTAGTGTATTTTCCCTTGTACTCTGCCTGATGATAAATTACTCAATTGATTGATATTGGTTTTATTACCCATGTCCTGGTATCACTAATAAATAATGGCCACTAATTAAAACATTTAGAGCTTTGGAAGCTAATCTGGATGGTTTGGAATACCAGAATTTGGCATCTGCATCCACCCAGCATCACAGACTGCTTTATAAATTGTAATTATTTCCATAACATTCTAAGATGACTCTGAGTAGCAGTGTGTGTCCCTGCTCGATGAATGTGTAGACTGAGGTACAGAGAGGTGAAAGCATGGCTTGTCCTTTCTTTCCCCCATATATCTATTCATAGATGAAGCTGGAAGTGCAGCCCCTGGGACTCAGTTCCTACTCTTCCAAACCTGCCAGCCAAGGAAGTGTCTTGCTTTGTTTTAATGAAGCTCTGTTTGCCATTTCATTTTACAGGCTGTTAGCCCAGAATAATGGGAAGTGGATACCCTGATGGACAACAGGAAGCCTTTATAATTTGTCAAACTACAATTAATAGTTGGCAAGCTCAAGGCCAGCTCTCTGTCAGTGAATACCATTTGGGCCAGAGTCACTTAAAGATTTCTGTCCTTGTGCCTCCAAGTTGACAAGGTCAGCTGCAGCTCAGGCTGGAATCTGAATCTCCAACTGTAGAAGCAATCCTGATCTCCTGGAGAGCTCTCTTAGAAACGATATTCCAGGCCTGCAAGATCATGAGTCTTTTACATCTGGTCAGAATAAAAGCAGAGAGATAGTAAGAAAAGGCCAAGGTCTGATTTGTGTTTTTTAATGGAGTTTTGTCCTCAAGCTCTTCTCTGAGGTGAATTTTCTTGCCAGACATTATCAGCTTCAGTGGTTTGGCTCAGATTTTTGCTCTAGATTCTTTTGTCCTGTTGACTTTTGGATCAACTCTGCACTGGCTCTGTTTTGAAGATTGCTTTACCCATATTAATGTTTAACTTACACAAGTATTAAATCATAAGTTTAACATGGAAATGTTTTAGTCTCTGGGCAGTTCCTTTTCCTTTCCTTGCTGATTTCACACTGTACATAAGTACAGCTTCACTTGGCAGGATTTCTTCTGTTTGGTGCTGGTCTCATGACACTCCGTTATTACTGTGGCCTTAATTCAGAGGAAAACAATAAAAAAACCCTCACTGTGCTGTGGGTTCCTGTGAGTCAGAGTGGCCCAAAGTAGGGGTCTTGGGTGAAGCCTGAAACTAATTTATTTCACATTATATCCATGACTGTCCACAGTTAGGGCTGGGAACTTGGTGGTGAATCTAGAGGCTGTATGAGGAAGAAAAATGTCTCTTGCTGTTGTCATATACCTTTACAACTCATCATGGAAGTCATGGTTTGGTTACTAGATACAACTAACAATAGAAACAGGAGAGGAAAAGAGATAGAAGATGCATCAGGACACCTATCCTCATAAAGACTGTCTTTCCTTTCCATGTTGAGTATCTTGGGCAGACTTTCCAGGGAACACCATGACAAGAGTTGTTGTTGTGACTCCCACTGCCCTGAGTTGCCTGCAAAATCTCACAGAATCACAGAATATGCTGAGTTAGCAGGAAACCATCAGGATAATCAAGTCCAACTCTTAACCCTGCACAGGACAGCCCTGAGAGTCACACCATGTGCCTGAAAGCATTGTCCAAATGAACTGCAACACTTCTTGAACTCTGTCAGGCTTGGGGCAGTGAGTACTTCCCTTGAGAGCTGTTCCAGTGCCCAAGCACCCTCTGGGTGAAGAACCTTTTTCTAATACCCAACATAAACCTCCCCTGACACAGCTTCAGGCCATTCCCTTGGGTTCTGTCACTGGTTAACAGAGAGAAGAGATCAGTGCCTGTCCCTCCTCTTCCCCTCAGGAGGAAGTTGCTGACTGCAATGAGGTCTCTCCTCAGTCTCTTCTTCTCCAGGCTGAACAGACCAAGTGCCCACTGCTGCTTCTCATGTGGCTTCTCCTAAGACCCTTTACCATCCTTGTGCTCCTCCTTTGGACACTCTCTAATGGCTTTACGTCTTTCTCATATTGTGCTGCCCTAAACGGTACACAGGGCTTGAGGTGAGGATACACCAGTGCAGAGTAGAGGGGGACAATCACCTCCCTCAGTCTCAAAGAAAAGCTTCCAAAGGCTTAATATCCTGAACAGCATAGGCCTACAGCTTTCCATTTGGGATGTTACTTTGTTCCTGTACCAGCCTTTGTAAAAGATTAATATATAGCAGAGTCAAAAAACATCTTGTCGATGTTTGAGAGTCATGGCAGAACAGCGAAAATAAGAGCAAAGATCTCTCCAAATGGCCTCAGTTCTCATTTCATCTATGATTGCTTGGCTGGTTGGTTGGTTGGTTGGGAGTTTTTTTGTGGAAAAGGTTTTTACAAAAAGATTGACTCATTTCATCTGTACATCCAGCACACTCATCAACCCACAACTCTGCCTTTTCTCCTGCAGGTGAGGGTGTCATCACCTCACATTGCTTCAGCTCCCTCTCCTGCTGTGTCTCCACTGGGACACATTTTGAAGGAAATGCTGTTGGGCTCAGTGGCAGAAAGGCAAAGCAGCCTAGGAGTGAAAAGAGGAGCTCCACACATTAATCTCAGCTTACCATTTTGCTTTTCTATCTCCTTCTAAAGCCCCAGCAGACAGCTCTGCCTTTGTAGAAAGCCATCCTCCCTAGCATGTGAGTGAGCTCTATAGACCCTTCTACTCTCTCTGTACAGCACATCCCACCTACCCATTCACATCTATGGCAGTCTTATGTGCACACAAAGCACATCAAACCACAGAGAACTCAGGCTGCTGACCACATCCTGAGGCACAAATACACTGCAAGTGCCTAATTCCTACCTTGTTCAGGTGAACTGGGGGACAACCCAAGGGCCCAGAGCTGTGATTTACCCAGAGCAGTGAGCATGGCCCGGTGGTGCTGGGTTCATCAAGTCCCCTTCCTCATGTTTCAGGTTCTGGCTGGATATGCTTGGGGTTTTCAGAAAGCTTGCATTAATTGTGTGACATTCTCAAAGCATTTTATAAGTCTAATAGTGAAAGCATGCTCTGCTTAGCACTGGAATACTCTCAGCTAGGTTGGTGCTGGGCAGAGCAGATGCTCAAACAGTGCTGGTGTTGCTGCTAAGGTTAGAGAGTGATGGATGAGTGTCCTACTGCTGCTGGAAAAGCATTGCAGATAAACACATTGTACTTAGACTGGAATTTGTCTAAGGCCCAGAACTGAACAGCTTTGTTTCACAAAAAGATGTCAAGGTCTTCAGGGAGCATGGGTGGTTTGGTCTTCAGATTTATGTCCCCTGTTCTCCTGGCAGTATGTGAGCTGTAATACACAGCAGGATGTTCGCCTGCTGCTTAGTCCAATAAAAGTCACTCCCTGTGATGACTGGGAGGATCTTTTGGAGCCTGTCTGCTCCTTCCTGACTTCTCCTGCTGCTGCTTACCAGAGAGATCCCAGCCAAAGGGTAACTCTGGCATCTCTGCCCTATTGCATAAAACAGATACCAACAGTATGAGTAAGGCAGGATCCCATGTGACTGTATAACCACTGCTTTCCATGGGAAGATATTTCTCACATTAGAGAGCCCAGTGAGTGGGAGGGGGGACATCTATAGCAGTGGTTTGGCTTGTGACTCTGGAAAAGATATGTGATGCAAGCTAAACTACTGCCCCCTTTCACCTTTCCTTGGCATGGGAAAATTTTTATTTCTAACTCTCAACTACTAAAGACAGTGCAAATGGTTATTTACTAGAAGGTGTTGTAGTTCTGAGTTTCTCACTGTGTTTTGCATTTTATTAGATGCAAAACCTCAAAAAATTTGGATTTGTTGTGGCTATAAATAAATAAGCTGGTCAGAATCATTCCTCCAACAGGGTTGCCCAGAAAATGAGGAGGAAGACCACTCAGTGAAGTGAAAGGGGTGGTAAGTGTAGCTGTGTACACGGTTCTCACTCCAAACAGCCTACTGAGACAGCTTGCCAACCTCGCTCATCAGTGTTAATGTATTCCATTTTCCTCCCCATGACATGTGAAGTTCAAATTTATCCGAGCAGCAAGCAGAGACAGAATCTCTATTGACTGATTTTGGCTGCAAGTACATTTTCTGATTTCCAACCAAATTTTTCATGGAGGTTCAGATTATTTTATGAAACAACCATGTCTTCCTGCTTTTATGAGGATACAGCTGGATTCTACAGAACAGGTGTGAGCCCCTGTCCCTAATGTTTTAGTCTATATTAAAATAAGGTATTAATTAAAAGTGATTAGATCTATCTGAAACCTCAAGTTTCCATTCCACATGAAATGCCAACATTTTAATGTCAGTTCTATTATGGTGAGAACAAAGAATACTATTATGACTTTAGCTTTGGGGAGTATTAATATAATGTAATATAGAACAAAATATGTTTGGAGACAACAAGTTGTTGTGGGATAAAAAAAATCAGTCAAAGAAGTCAATCCAAAATAACATCAAAGTCAGTACTGTTACAGAGGAAGTTCTGAATGCAGATGAAACAGGAAAAAAAAATGTCTGAATATTTTCAGGCAGTCATAGATGCTTTAATTATAGCTGCATTATCGGTAGGTAGATTAAATAAATGTACAGTGCTTCTTCTGGAGAAATCCAGTCAAAATGTCCTTTCACTTGCTCCTATGCAGTGTCACAGAGACACACAGACACACATACACACACACATATATATATATTTGGTAAAATCTAGCAAATAGGTGGATAGGAACTTTCCACAGTGACATGTGTCAGGGACAATGCAAACTGACTTTCAATAAGAAAGTCTTCGGCTTTGAGGAGACCTCAGCAGTGATATCTGTGCCAGAGGAATGAGCTGTCCTTTTGCAGCCAGGATTTACCTGGGGGTTGCAGCTGCTCTCCTCATTAGCCCACAACTAATTAGCCCACGGTCCACAGCTCCTCCTCAGCTCCAGATGACACAAGCTGTGTGTCTGTGTCTCCTCTTGCTGTTAGACAAGTATGTAAGTCCAGCCTTATGTTGCAGCACGTTCACAGAGACATATATATAGGGCATGGGACTAGCTGAGTTGCCAGGTTTTGGATCACCTGTTTGCACCAGAGGGATATTTTCAGGCTGCCTGACCCAGAAAAGATAATGTGTCCCTGAGCCATGGGGCACGAGCAATGCTGACATTTTAGAACGGTTGGCACGAACCCCTGCCTGGCCACTGGCTTCTTGTCCTTGAGACATTCAAGTTCACATGTGACTTTGATTTGATTCCTGTATCCCAGAAACTCTTTGCCTCCCAAGGTTCCAGCTGCTCACTGCATTGCACTGGTCCTCTAGACTGTCAAATTACTCCTCTCAGCTGCAGGTAGCTTGGTCCAAATTCCCTTATGGAGCTGTTGGGCATCCTTCCTATTTTGTACAGCTTCTTTTCTCCATACAAAGATCTGGATCCTACAGTGGGAAGATGGAAAAAATAAAGCTTCAGCACAGTTACTCATACATACTCATACTCATTGCTTTATAATTTTCTCATTGCCATTGCCTTTCTTCTGCTAGCAGACAGCAGCAGTGTCCAGTTCCACAACTCCACAGAGTATTTGCAATTGTTTGTGTTCAGCTTTTCGGAGAAATCTCTCATGGAAAAATTGTCTCCTGACCACAGAGTAATCACTAAGTGCAAAAAGCTTTGCCAATCTGCAGTCATTCCCAGTTAAGCACCAAAGGAGCTCTTCCTTCGAAATCACTGGAAAACATAAATGCAGAATTAAGGTGGCACCTCTTTTCCATTCCAGTCTTCTAGCTTCCAGAAGGCTATTTGTGACAGGGTCTAGCAGGCTTGGCATCCAAATAATGAGGAGGCTGTAAGAACTATCCAGAGCAGTTAAGCGTGAAACTATGTACTTCCTATCCACTGCACTGAAACCACAATTTAATAAAACAATTTAATAAAACAAATTAACTGCTTTTACCCTTCAACATAAGTTTTCATCTGCTGTAAATTAATATAATTGAGTAGGAAAAGTGACTTGTCTGAGTAGTTTCTGAAAGGCTTCAAGAAAAAGGTTGAATACGAGCTTTCAAAATTTCACAAGGCATGTCTTTCTGCTGTGGCTCTGATTGTAGTGTTCCTTCAAGTAATGGTTTGCAAAGCTGCTTTCAACATGAATTTTTGTTCCAGGTTACTATTTGCTGTGACAACAGAAATGCTACTGCCTGCAGCTGGGCATGGGAATGATTGCAGGACTCTGGGCAGCAGGGGCAAAAGCTCCCTCTTCTGATGGCTCCAGAGCTGAGGCCAGAAGGCCAGAGGAGACATGAAGGAAGGACTGGGGGAGAAAAAATTCCATCAGGCACTTCAAGGACAGTCCAGTTACGGGTATGGGGATGTCAGTACAGGTGTAACTTCAGCTGTTTATCCCCCTCCTCTCTCTTAGTAACTTCTATCCTGGTCCATCCCTTCATGAGATCCACAGATCCATTCTTGTTGTGACTGCACCCTAACAGACTTTTGGGCTTCTAATATTTTGAAGTACTAAAATGTCTACTTCTAGATCACAAAACCTGTCCTACTTCTACTCTCAGCATTTATTGCTGTTTCTAAGGTTGCCCTGTTTTCCTCTGGAAACTCAATGCTTGCAAGAAACAACTGAATGTGAGATTACAAAATGAGAACTGCATCCTGATCAATATTCCCAGACACAAGTGATTTTTCAACAGAGGATGTCAGAAACTTGCCTTCTTGGCAGTGTCTTCATAATTCCAGTTTTAGCACTAATTTTGGCAAGTGACCAAGAGGGAAAAATGTTTTCTAGCAGAATGCAGTGGGATAAACTGTGACAAGGGAAAATGGGCAATGTAGGCTGGGCTCCTGATGAGGGATCTGTGATGTTAAGGAATAATCCTCCAAGGAAAATGCGTCATGGGGAATTGTAGAGAAATTTACTTTGTAAAGAACCTCTAGAGATATCTAGTTATCCTGCACATTAGAACTCTCCTTAACAATGAGCACAGCCTTCTTCCCATCTTCTTTGTACTTCCTGAAGAGTGAGATGCATGTTATTGCTCCACCTGGGTACATCTCTGCACTCTAGCCATGCAAACATCCCACCACACCTCTGTACCCGCAGTGATGGCATAGCTCTGCAGCTGCACAGTCCTCCAGTTTCTCTTGTTTATTTCCCGATGGTGTATTAGTGTTCATTAACTCCCCAGAATGTCCTCTGCTTCTGGGGAATAAAAGGGCCTCTCCAATGCCCCACAGTCCTCCAGTTTCTCTTGTTTATTTCCCAGATGGTGTATTAGTGTTCATTAGCTCCCCAGGATGTCCTCTGCTTCTGGGGAACAAAAGGGCCTCCCCAATGCCCTGCTTCCTCTGTGATTTCATCTCCATCCACAAATGAACCCACTTTAAAGTCTTCTTCAGGGGCTAGAAAAGAGCCAGAGGAGCTTTTCCATATAGGCAGACAATGGCACATGGAGCTTTCGCTTTTTGTCAGGCACTCAAATCAGGTCCAAGGCAGCAGCAGCCAGAGTTACTGCCAGCTGGCAATTTGGAGACACAGGCTTGTAATATAAATTCGTCTTCCAACAGCACCACTTTTTAACATATTTATCAATCATCTCAGCAGAAAGGCCAGAAACTGAGTGAGGAAGGCCTGAAGTACAGACAGGCAGCATTGCACACTAAAGGAGCAGAGTCCCACTGATCTTAAGGGAAATCACAGAGCTTGTTTCCTAAACTGAGAGTCTCTCAATTCCCACCCTTCATGATCTCTGTCAAACTATGACATTAATTAACCACCATGAGGAAACAAACAGCTCCTCAGATAAATTTCCAAGCGAGAAACAGCTTAACCTCAAAAGCTACTGTTTTCCAGCTCCACACTTTTGCTTTCTGTTTCTCAAACACTTCCAAGAAATAAGAAAATCAGTTCCAAAAATTTATTGCTATCTCCTCAAGCACATTAGAGACAAATTAAAAGTTCTGTCCTTCCCTGAATGACACAGGGGGTTGTACTACAGAATCTGACAGTCTCCTGAAACTACTATGAGGAATATGGAAAATGGAAGAATATGAAATTCAAAAGCGAGTTAAGTCCTAATGTTAGGAATGTAGCTGAGAAGCTCAATTAAATGAGAGTAATATTACCTACTGAAAGGAAGTTCTAGGACGCTGACTCTATTCTAGGTCAGTTACACAGTATGCAAAATTAGACAGATAGACTATTTTTCCTATCATGATTGCAAATAGGGTAAGAAAGTATCTTTTATTCAGTTTTATAATGTATAGCACAGTGCAGTTCCAGAGTTAAAACTTGTGAATTCCAGAGAAATACAAATAATGTATGACCCAACATAATACAATATTGTTCCTAATCAGACAGAGCTCCCATTTATTTCAGTGAGAATATTGCCTGCAGGATCAGGTTGGCAGGTCCTAATCAGGGCTCAGTCAGCTGTCAGCTTTCCCCGACAGTGGAGTGCAGGGGATTCAACTTCGTCTCACCCTCCTTCTGCCACTCCTCTGCCCCAGCAACAGAAGCTCCGTGTTCACAGTGAGAACAAGAGCACTCCCCACACACTGATTCCATTCTGGCCAGGCCTGGCATTTCCCGTCTTTGTCAGCGCCTGCGCCTGCCCCGGTGCCGTCCTTCTTTGTGAGCCTAATAAGTACATAAAGGCTGAGGAATGGGGATCCCAGCACACTCACAGCAACCCGCCTCCAGGAGCTCGTTTGCCCGGGCAGACAGCCTGGGCAAACAATTAGCTCCAGCTCCAACATTCAGGTCCTGCAGAAGAATTGGATGCTTGGCACTGGCCGCTCTCCATGACATTAAAAATTTGGCTTTTCTCCAATCAAATATTTTAACATTTGCGACCGTTTGTCCGGACCCAAAGCCTCGGTTAGGAATTTCTGCTCTGGTCTAATTTTGTAAATGGAGATTTGACGATTATTTACTGGGAACTTTGAAAAAAATGTACTTAGCCTCTCTTTTTACAGAAAGGGTAAACTCTCTTTTACCCTTTTTACAGAAAGGGTAAAAGAGAGTTTGTTTGAAAGTCATATAATGGAACAGGTCAGCATTACCAGCATATACTACCACACTATAAGCAGTGTACACTTAGACTTACAGTATAACTTGGAGTGTTGCTGTCACAGACCCTTCTGTGTTCATTGCTGGTAGCAAACAGCTGGCTTTTAATGAAACATAATAGAGAATTTGTTATTTTAAAACTGCCTTTCCATTTATAATCATGCCTGTTGTAGTACAATGGAGAATTGTATCCTTATTCCTTCATGCTGCCAATGCAGGAAATATTTAAACAAGTGCTTGTGAAGTATTTATTTTCAAATACATTAATGATGTGTCTCCAAATCAGTAAAGTTAGTGTACCCTGAGTTATGCACGCAGGTAGTACATTTTGTATCAGGACTTTATGCTTATTATAATCCATGCCTTTTATAATTTCAGATCGATACAGTAAAAGATACACACTAAGTCAATCTCCTGCACATTACAAACCCTTACATTTTTCCCTAATTAATTTTATCCAGCCCATCTCTTCAGTGCGAGTAAGGAACTTGAGTAAATTCTCAAGGAAATTAACATTCTGAATGCCACAGATCTGTCAAGCCAGCTTTGACATGGTACATAAACAAATAAAATATGGTAAACAACATACAAAAATTTGCAGGAAAATATTTTTTGATTAGATGTTTAAAGAAAGTGAGAAACAAAGGTTGCTTGTTTTCCTGGCAGGCTGGACATGAGCTGGCAATGTGTGCTTGCTGCCTGGAAAGCCAAATGTACCCTGGGCTGCACCAGAAGCAGCGTGGCCAGCAGGTCAAGGTAGGTGATCCCACCCCTCTGCTTTGCCCTCATGGGACTCTACCTGCAGTGCTGCATCCAGCTCTGTGCTCCTCAGCACAAGAAAGACATGGACCTGTTTAGAGAGACACAGAAATTATTAGAGGGAAGGAACACCTCTCTTATGAGTAAAGGCTGAGAGAGATGGGGTTGTTTAGGGGGTGACCTTATTGTGACCTTCCAGTGCCTGAAAGGGGCCTGCAAGAAAGCTGAGGAGGGACTTTTTACAAGGGTGTGTAGTGACAGACAAGGGGGAATGGCTTTAAAATGGAAAAAATAAGGTTTAGATTAGATATAAGGAAGAGATTCTTGACTGTAAGGGTGCAAGTCACTGGCACAGCTTGCCCAGAGAACTTGTGGATGCTCCATCCCTGGAAGTGTTCAAGGCCAGGTTGGATGTAGCAGCCTGGTCTAGTTGGAAGGTGCCCCCGCTTATGGCAGGGGGATTGGAATTAGAACATGAACCCTTCCATCTCAAACCATTTTGTGATTCTATTATTGTTTCTCATTTGTCTTTGAGAGCAGAATCAAGCCACTCTTGCACATAATGACTGAAATTGGTATTAATTGTTTTCTTTAGCCATCTACACACAAAATGCTTAGAAGAAAAACAAAGCATATAGGAAAGACACTGTGGAAGTCTTAACCTGTGGGGCTGTACTTCTTGTACTTGTACTTCTGTACAAGAAGTCAAAATCTGTTCAAAGGCAGAGGATGGTCCTTTCTGAATATTCTGCAAGAGAGGTGGGAATAGGATGTAAAAGGGAAATCTAAGGCTCAACTTTGTTATATGGGCTCCAAATCAAGAGAGAGGCATATAGACTTCTCTGGGATCAGGCTGAGGCATTAAGCTGGTAGAAAAAGAGCAGAGAGAAAATAGAGCAAAAGCACTCATTAGCAAAAATTTAAAACACCATGAAAGGAATCAGCAAAGCAACCAAGAGACTTGCAAGGAAGAAAACATCTCATTTACTTAAGCTAATACTCAGTCTGGAAAATAAGCAAAAAGAATTTGCCTGGTCACTAATAAACATCGATTTGACCCAACAGATATTGCCAAATTTAGTGGCAGGATTTCTGTGATCAGACAGTTTAAATCACTTGCTATAACTCAAACAGTAAGTAGTGACCTCAAAATAGCAGAAATTGTACATAAATAAAGGGCATCAGCTCTTTCTGTCACTGGTGAGGGAAACCACTGATGTCAAATGTCCTTGAACCACAGGATAAGCATGTACTTAAAACATCTCTCTGCACTGTATAGAGAAAGTGACTTTGGCTGAATGATCTATTCTGGATTTCCCACAGTAATAGTGGGACTATCTAAAATTACCTACAGCAGTTACCTAGACTAAAAAACAACACAAAAAATATATGTTAGCCTTTCCAGGTAACAAAGGCACAGTTCCAAGAATTCAATGTTGTTCACAAGAATGAAATGTTGTTCATTAAATGTTGTTCCAATTTCTAAAATTAGAATTTTTAAAATCAGGAGTTCCCAGAAACCTTTCAAGATCTCTTGACCATTACTGTCAATTTTCAATTAGTCCTAAAACAAAAGGAAAACTATAGAAGTTTGGCAGAAAGTGAGGGTGATATAAGTATTTGAATAAGATATATGGAATGACCCAGATAACTGTTGGCTTTTTTTACTTGATTTCAATCTTAGACCACATAATCAAATTGACAGTATGTTTCACAAATGATCAAAATAATATAATTAAGATTTGTGAAAACAGATTTTGTCAAAGTATAATTCAGCTTTTGATGTAAGTTCAGGTTTTAGAATAACAGTATATATATATACATGTATATATATATATATATATATATGTACTGATCCAATGTGTTAGGACTTTTAGGGTCTTTGACCTTAACATATCTTGCTAAACAGCTGAAATATAAATAGAAATAACTAGACAATGATGAACTGAAGGCTGTAATGTACACCTACACTGTGATAATTTTTAGCTCAAGACTGACTGTTCTGTAAAATATCTTTCTAGCTGAAACAAGATTAGCAGCCAGGGGCAGAGAACTCTATGGGTAATGAAGTCAGGCTGGCTTCATCCCAGCTATAAAACCCTCTTTGTGTAGGTAACTTAACTATTAAGTGAAACACCAAAGTGTTTTGCATCACCTAAGGTACTGCTGGACAGGGTCCTTCCTCATTGCCCAGGTTCTACTACTCCAGTCAGTAGTTATATGGGATCTTCTGACTAATAGGCTAGGGTGAGGGCAGTTTAAGGACCTTTATTTCTCCTGAGAGCAGCTAAACTGCCATTCCAGGTGTATCTGTGTGGATGTCCTTGTTGCTGCTCACTCCTTTTCTGTCCCAGGAATTCTCCTGCCCAAGGTGGCCATGTAATGTTGCCATGGAGTTGTTCAGGACGTCTCTCAGACTTACTGTCCTAGGCTATTGATAAATGTAGGTAGATACCTGTACTCTGCTTGTCTTAGTTTGTATTTTCAATGAGAATTAGAAAGTAATGTGAAATCTAAATTATATTTACAGGTTTGATGCATGACTCAGCTCCAGGCGCAAACCTGGTCCCAAGTGTCAGGTTTGTAGTGTCTGCATCTTTATCTGATTTGTCTGGTGTGAAGCTGTATACATGTAAGTAATAATATTAACATTAAAATATTTCCACCTAAATCTCTCTCCTTGGTTCCAAAGGGAGCCCAGGCTAAATGAAAGATCATAGGTGGCGTGCATATATTTGACATTTTGGAGACAGAGAGGAAATATTAATGGACCACCAGTAAGTACCTGGTTCATTGTATGGAGCAGCACAGGGTTATTTTTATATATTCATTGAGCTTTGAAATGCACTCAAAGACAAACTGTGTCACAAATAAGTTATAAGACTTGCTACAAATATTTCTCATGGAATATGTCTCTGCAAGACATATCATCAAATGGTTTGCCTATCTTCTAGGCTTTGATCTGTAGATTGTAGTAATTAGTGCAGGAAAGATCTATTGGATTACCTAAACTGCTACATGATATTCAGCACAGTTTCTCCTTCCTAATGTTTTGCCTCACACAGTTTATATATCCAGGGGACAGGGGGCAGAAATCCCCTGGGATACTATTTCACAACCAATTCACACAGTCAGTGATTTTTCTGGTGAGATTTAGCCCAAATTTGTGTTTTCTAATCTCATTGCATTAAACTCTTGTAGTTATACTCCTTAGTGTCATGTGAAATAATTCCTCCTTAGGGTCCTATACACCCTGTACTGAAAGTGCAGATGGTTAGATTCATCCTATCATAAACTATGCAAGTTTTCTTTATTCACCTTTAATGTACTTTTTTTCTTTCTTATTTACCTCCAATCTGTCTATGTCTCACATGGAGCTATGCAGCCAGACCTAAATACAGTCCTGCACTTGCAGTCACAGCTGAGAAGCATAAATTGCAGTCAGTACCTTGCAAATGAAAGATGTCATCTGTCCCACGAGAAAGAAAAGGATCATAGGTTAGTGAAACTGGTTACCTCTTTGGGAGAAAAATCATCACTCTCTTTGTAGTTGGATACAACAGATTTGGAAAATAACCCCAGTTCATCTTGACAAGATGTGAACAAAACGCAAGAGCAATTCTCTGGTGAGGAGCATGTCCACTCCACACAAGCTGTCTAGCCTGCTTCTATTGATGCCCAGGAGAAAATAATTCCAGACTGTAATCCATAATAACGTCATCATCTAACATGAGTGGGCTGGATTGCATTCTCTCCTCTGCTAAAAAACAGCCTTCCCTAGGCTATTGACATAATTTTTAGATGGCTAAAACTAGCCAAGGCTAATAATAACTGACCTCCGCTGATTCTATTATGATTGCTCTTCATGTTTCACAACAGAAGCCCCTCACAGACGGCCCCATGTGCCGGCTTGGATGGCTAAACAGCCCTCCTGTGTGCCTCATGTTCATTTCCCTTAAAAGCACTGATGACATTATGTTGATTCACAGAAATTCTACCAGCAAAAGCTTATTTGACCAAGAAATTGAGACAGAACCACTAAAAAAAAAAAAAAATAGATCCAGTCCCTCCTTAGTTCTCCTTTTTCTTTGCCTCTCTAAAATGGGGAGATAGACCTGATTTTACCAGCAAAAGCTTATTTGACCAAGAAATTGAGACAGAACCACTAAAAAGAAATAAAAAATAGATCCAGTCCCTCTTTAGTTCTCCTTTTTCTTTGCCTCTCTAAGATGGGGAGATAGACCTGATTTTGTTGTCCCCACAGGGCCTACATCCATTGCAGGACAATCTTCACAAGAACACCACCTTTAGCTAAAACATAGTCTGAAATATGATGAGGTCCTTCAGAGTCACACTGCTAACTTCAAGGTGCCTCCATGCTGCTGCAAGACAACCAGGCATCAAAATTAGTATGAGCTCAAGCATCTCACTAGAAACACCACCAAATCTGGCTGTACAATGGGATAGGAAAGGCCCTTCCCAGCTCTGAAGGTTGGGCTCTCACTGCAGGGAGAACCTTCTGTTTTGCCATTTGTATTGAATATGGGATTCTCTTAAAACAAGCTGGGCATGAAGTGAGTATTATCTCCAACAGGAGCTGAAAGAATTGTCTACTAATATTCTCAATGACCTTGTGAATATACAGTAGCTTCATGGTCACAAACAGCACTTAGAAAATGTTGCAGCTCACCATTCTTAAACGAGCTCTTAGTGGACTCAAAGCCACCAGACAGAGCAGTGACACCACCGGCAGAATCTCAATCCAGCAGAGATGGACACAGGCTGGCATGGAAACAAAAACAGTAGTGATGAATTCAATCCAATTTTGCATAACACTGAAGATCCCGTTTTTCAGGAAATTCCTGAAGTTCTCAGAGAGAGCAGTTGCAGTGGATGTTTTATTTTTAAGGTGTCATTTTGGAATTACTTCACTGCAGTGATATGCTGTTTATTCGAACAGTGAAGATCCAGCGTCTTAAAAGATTCTCAGTCTTGCTGGAGCAAATCCAGATGCCTGTTTTGTTTCAACAAGTTTTCACTATCATGAAATTAAAGAGGTACTGTTAGTTTAAATATCACTCATCAGAAATGTTTTCAATAACATGAATAGTAGGAATTCTTAATAGTTAAGAGCGTATATCATATATATAGCTGTGAGTTTTGAAACAAGTTGAATTCAAAATATTAATCCTTTTTTTCTTCTTTCTATGCACCTCATAGTTTGATCAAAACTATCTACATAATATGCTCATAATAATATACTCAAAGAATATAACATACCCAGAGAATCATGTCATGTCTGACAGATATGGATAATCCCATTAAGCCTTTAAGTTGAAAATTCTGGTGGGGGGGTGGGGGTGGGGAGAGCTACAAAATAATTCCTAAACATACTCTAGAGAATCATGTCATGTCTGACAGATATGGATAATCCCATTAAGCCTTTAAGTTGAAAATTCTGGTGGGGGGGGATGGGGGTGGGGAGAGCTACAAAATCATTCCTAAACATACTCTGTTTTCAGTCCAATGTTACCTTTTGTGTTTCCCATATAGTAGCACATCAGTTTTCCAATAGATTTAGAAACTTTCTGTAAAGCTTGAGTTTTCTCAGGCAAAGCTTTTTTTTTGCAGTTGTACCTGCAGGTGCAGTAGAAACCTTCCCCTGCCTGAGTGAATTGCATCTAGATGCTCAAATATCCCTATCCATGCAGGAAGAAGATGGACACACTGAGTGGGCTTCACTTCATGTAACTGTAGGCACCAAAAAGTTAGATTTAACTTCTCATAATAAACAGCAGAATAAAATGAGTGCTTTTAAAGAAGGATTTTCTGGCCTAACTTACATCCCATTTTAGGATGAGATTATTTGCCCTCTGAGGTATCCCCTTAAAACCTGCAAAAGGAACCTAGAGTGGTCATGACTAGCTTTTAGTTGTCTTTATTCATCACTGGAGTCCCCTGCACGGCTAGGGCCCTCCTCCATGCTGCTCCACAGTGTCACTTGCTGATGACAAGGTTTTTGCCAACACAGGAAGGATATTGTATACATTCTGCTGTCAGTTTTCCCACTTGGCAATCTTTTCCATAAACTAAGCAACTCAGATTCCCAGTCCTGACGTGCTTCCTTTCAGAGCTCACAGTAAAAGAATTTAGCTTCTGGGAACTAGGAATAAGTACCTTCCCCACCACCCACCCTTCCATCCACAGTCTTGAAAAACCTGAGGAAGAGTTCCTTCTCTCCTAGTGGTATCATCTTGTGGTGCAGCACATCTGAGGTGAATGTCTGTCCTTCCCCTTCCCATCAGCACAGCACCTAGTCATGGGAGAGTCACCACTGTAATTGTCATCAAAACACTTCATTGAGATAGGATATGCTCTCACACTTGTTGCACAGATTTGGGAACTGTGGCACCAGAGCCTTCCTGAAATCCTGAACTGAAGTAGGGGTGGGGATGAGACAAGTACTTGCTTCTCCAAAGTCCAAGTCTGTATTATTCTTGCCTTCAAAATAAACTGTTTTCAAAGGGATAGAGAGTATCTTCACCTTTAACTTTCTCCAACAGTTAAAAATCATTTAGGGAAAACAGCATCAGTGAGGAGGGGTCTGTGTCCCAGGGAAAGTAGAGGGAGAGCTGCTGTGGCAGTGGGGAACTCCAAGGACTTTTCTTCTGCATTGCATCAGCAGTGAGCAATGGGGAGACTGATTTGAGCCAACTGTGGGTTGTCATTCTTCCTTCCAGACTCAGTGGCCTCTGAAATCACTTCATTGTCTGCAGCGGAATCTGGCACAGGACCGTAATGCCAGGTTACTTCACTTCCCTGCAGAATAAAAGATTTCTTCAACCATGAGAAATTATCTCCTGACAGCGCTGTTCATTAGGGCTCCCACCTGTAGACTGTTTCATTTTCAGCTTACTCACAGGGTGCTGAAAAGTCAGTGTGTGTGTTATCACTTGATAATATAGTATAGCTAATACCTCTTCACCCTTCCGTATGTTGTCACTTACTGCTCTTTGCCTCAGCAATGGCTCACAGAAACATTCAGATCTTGGATTTCTTACTCTTTAAAAAACCCCAAAAACTTGTGCAGCCCAATTTTACCAGAGCTCTTGTTTCTTAAGAGTTATACACATAGGGGAAAAAGAAATCTATGTTTGGTAATTTTTTTCCCTCTTTTGAATTAGAAAGTAAAAACAGATTTTTTTTTTTCAATATAGATGCTCAATAGAACAGGACAGTAGTTCATTATTTCTAAAGACAAACCAGACAAATGGTCTTTTCTGAGCTTATGGTTTAATGTACACACTAAAACTAATAGAAATCAGAAGTTTTTATGAAAACAAAATCTCTCCTAACTAAATTCCAAACTAAACATTTTTCTCCACTCCTTTTGTCATGACAGTTTCACCCAACACTTTCTTTAAGATTTCATCTCAGGAGGGGGCCTGTAGACACCAATCCTTGTGGTTCTTATTCATCCAGCTGTGTTGTACATAGAGACACACTTCATGGAATCACATCATCACAGGATGGTTTGGGTTGGAAGCGATCTCAGAGATCTCCCAGTTACAAATGCCCTGCCACAGGCACGGACAATGTCCACTGCTGCTGTTTCAGGCACAGAAGGTTTCCAGTCCTGTACTGTGTCATGGATAGCCCAGGGCATCCCAAACCACTACAACTAAGAGAGGTGAGCCCCACTGCGTACATCTTAGCATTGCTGTATCCCTGTCCCCCTGTCTGCTGTAAAAACCTCAATCAGCATCATATCATCCAGGATAGTGTCCATTTGAATTTGTGTCTGGAAGGCCCTGGAGCACGTATGGAAGCTGTGGCACAAGAAACTGCATGTCCATGGGAAACAAAAACCCACCTGGACCACTGCTGCAGCCCTGAGACCCACTCTAACCAAACCTCACAACATTTTCACCCCTACAAGGCAGGGGCCAGCCCTTCCATCCATGCAAACCAGCAGATGTGTGTGTACAGGGCAAAGCTTCTGGACCTGCACATCTTGTTGGGATGTGATAGACAGAGTCACATCAGGAAGGGATCTATGGTCAGTATGGCACTGCAGACAGAGCCTGTCTGCTGCCTTGTCTGCGCTGCAGATACTCCAGGGATCTGCCTCACTGTGGCATGGTCATTCCCTCACGGCCCAAGAGCAGCAGCACTGGTGTCACAAGCCCTTCTCCAACAACACTTACATTCTCTAGCTGTCTGAGTAGTTACTTTTTTTAAAAAATTATTTAGCTTTTTCCATTCATTTGGTAAAATCTTTCTGTAGACCCAGATGGGGATGGTGTTAGGGCCAAGCATATGCAAATTAGAAAAATCATGTCTGAGAATGTAAGATCCTGTCATGGTTCGGCTCTTCACAGACTGTCCATGGGTGAGGCAAAGGTTTTCTTTTGCCTCAGGCTCTCCTCATGCTTTGTAAGGGCAGCAGTGGCTTGGAAGGTCAGTAGAAGACTGCAAATAAATTGACTCCTATGAAATTTGTATTTCCCTTCTGGAATAATGGTGATCAGCTGGGAATTTCGAAAAAACTTTTTTTTTTTGGGCGACTTTTTCTTGTGGAGTTAAACCATTGCAGGATTTTTGCCTTCTTGGCTCTGGTTTCTTCTTTTCTTGCCAGATATCATTATAAGGCTTCAAGAAGGATGAGTAATTAAAACCCATGCAAACAATGTGTCGGACAATTAAATTTAAATGTCCGCTAGATGAGGCAACACGGGTGAGTGACCGCAGAGCTCCTGGAGCTGATGCCCTGCGGAGGCAGGAAGGGCTGAGGGGGTTCAACCCTCTGAAAAGGGATCTGGGGACCCAGACACTGGTGACAAAGAACCTGCAGCCCTCGGGGCTGCAGAGGCGCCACGGCTGCACCCCAAAAATCTCACACCGAGACGGCAGCCCCTGAGCCGCCCAGAACACGGCCAATAAAAAACAAGGTTGGGGAAAAACCCCTACGTTTTTCCTCGGGAAATAAATGGAAATAGCAGTAAAGGATTACCGGGGGGGTGACGCTGCACAGGGCGCGCTGGGGCGGCGGCCCGGGGGCAGCCAGCGCGGAGGGACGGCCGGGCCGGGCCGGGCCGGGCAGGGGAGGAGAGGGAGGAGAGGAGCGGCGGGGCCCCGCGGGCGGGCGGCCGTGCCACAGAGAGCGCTGAGGGCGGGGCGGGCGGATCCAGCGGCGGGATCCACCTGCGGGAGGCGCCGCTCCGCCCCGGCCCGCCCCGCTCCGAGCGCGCCGCCGAGGGCCGGCGCCCGGCGGGAGGGAGTGAGGGAGGGGAGGCGCTCCCGAGCCCCGCGGAGGCGTCGGGAGAGATGGGACCGGCACCGGCGCCGCCACCTGCCTGAGCCGCTCCCGGAGCCGCCGCCGCCGCCGCGGGGAGCCGGTAGGTAGCGGGCCCCGCCGGCAGGGAGGGCGCCGCGGGCTGCGGGTCGCCCCGGGGGACAAAGGGGCGGCGGGAGGATGGCGAGTGCCGGGTTGGCCCCGGGCACTGCCTCGCCTGCCCCGGGCACTGCCTCGCCTGCCCGGGGCACTGCCTCGCCTGCCCGGGGCGCCCGGCGTGCGGGAGCGCGGGCGGCGGGAGCGGCTGTGCCGGCCCGGGGCGAGCGCTCCCTCCGCGCAGGGCTTAATGTTTAACCCCGCTCGCATCCACCGGGCGCGCCGGCGACAAAAGGGCGAGCGCGGCTGCTGCCCGCCGGTCCCGCTGCGGGTCCGCCGCCGGTGACCAACTCTGAAAGGACGGCGGGTGAGGGAACAGCTGGGATAAAAGTCGCCTTTGCTGCTTTTCCATGCTTTGGAGGCGTCTGGAGGTAGCGCTTCGCTGCGGTGCTGTGCTTGGATTCGTCGCTGTGTTTGAGTATTTTTGGGGTGGCCTTTTAAGACATACGTGACACGAGCTGTTCAGTGAAGCCGCTGCTGGAGCCTGGGGAGATTGTTTTTTGCCTCCTGCCCCGAGCAAGGTCCGAGGTGTTGGTACGGTCCCACGGGGACCCAGCTTGTGCAGCTGCCCCGTCACTCAGGTGGTTTGGAAGCCTTGGGGATGCAGGTCCTTCCTACGGCTTTACCCCGTTATTCAAAGGGACCGTCACCGTCTGCTCCTAATGCAGTTTGCTCTTGTACCGTGATACCGAAGCTGCTTGACATGCAGGGAAAGAGAAAGAAGAA